TGTTATTGGTGGTTCTGTCTTAGCTTCTGGTTCTGGGTCAGGCGGATAAGGTCCTTGAAGAGGTGGATTGGCTTATCAAGAGACTCACCAGTCTGGCATCAGATACATCAGGTAATAAAAGTCCACGTCTTATTGTTACACCTTTGTCAAAAACAGATGAAGAGCAAAGAGATACTTTGGGATTCGGATTTTGAGGTAGCATCATTTGAGGGCAGGTTAAACCCTTGAGCTGGTTCTACATGAACAAGATAGAGAGCGTTGTCACAAAATCCCTCCAGTGATTATTTTCCCTGTGCCACACTGGTGCTTTGGGCACTAGACACAAAGGTGGTCTTTTGTGCCTCCCACCTGCATAACTGCATTCATTAGACACACATTCACCGGGTATTCATCTCTTTATTCTAGAAGAGTCTTCTCAGGCATCAAACCAAACCCAGGCTCTGGAGAAAGGTGTAATTCTGCAGCTGGGAACTCTGCTGACAGTTTATCATGAGCTGGTACAGACAGCACTCCCTGCAGGGAGCTGTGTGGACACACTGCTGAGAAGCCTCAGCAAGACATACGCAATTCTCACCTCCCTCATCAAACATGTGAGTGCTGCTCTGCTGACAGTGCAGTGGCTAGGATCTGAAAACTTCTTCCCCCATCTGCTACAGCAAGCTCACAGTGACCCCTGGCAGCAGCTATGCTCAGGACTGGGCTGTCGATCTCTTGCAGGAGTTGAGTCCTTATTCTGTTGGTTTTCATGCCCTCAATTTTGTGACCTTTCTGAGCAGTGATAGGTGTGACAGTAGAGATAAAGGAAAGCTTCTCTCCAGCTGAATTTGGCTGTGCGTGGCTTGGAGTGGCTTTTCCCACTGTACCTTGTAGGTTCCTCTGTATGCAGCTGTGTGCCACAGCGAGCGGCACTCGCAGCGTTCTCACAGTGGTCAGCAATCCCGCCCTTGCCTCTCGTTCCCATCCAAGGCTTTTGAAGCATCAGACCTGGGGGAATTGGGCCAGGAAAAGAGGCCAGCGGAGCGAGTGTGAGACAAGGTGGTCTCGCGGCTCTGGAATGTAGACATGGCATTTGGGATATAGCAGGCCATTGGGGAGGATAGTTCTTGCAAATCCTCCCCTCCCCACCATGCCACTGGATGAGCTGCTTTAGGCCCTGCCTGGAAGTACAGATTGCAGGATGGGAACAGCATACCTAGAAGAAATTCTCTCATGTTTTCCTTGCAGTATATCCAAGCTTGCCGCAGCACATCGAATACGATTCCAGGAAGGTTAGAAAAGCTGGTGAGTGTGAGCGGATTGCTGGAGGAAATGGCTCATTGCCTTGAGTTACGAGTAACACCAACCTCTCTGCTACTTTGCAGGTGAAGCTCTCAGGTTCCCATTTGACCCCACAGTGTTACTCATTCATTACTTATGTACAGGTAAGGCCTAAAGTAACTGGTATAATCACAGTCAGTCCATCTGATGCTGCATGGTGTATCACCTGCAGTACATGGGGACCTTTGGGGATTATTAATCTTCTTGACATGATGCAAGTTTCTCATAGTTCAAGCTTTGCTGTATCAAATAACAGTGTAAGACATTTCAGCACCATTGGGACTGAGCATGCTGATTTCTGCTTGAGCAGGGAAGGAAGAGTGTCTGGGCAGCTGGTTTTTAGTTGTTTTTTTTCCCCTCTGTTCATGTGGGGCTTTTGGATGAGACTAATACTGCTGTTAAACACAATGGCAAATAAAGGCCAACAACACTGCAGCCATTGCAGTGTAAAGTAATGTGGGTGCCAAAGACTGCAGTCCCAAAGATGGGATTTAGCTGCTTGGAGAGGAATTGGGTGCTTCAGTGAGGACCACAGGGATTGTACAACAGACGTGGCATATTGGGGAAGGCATAGTGATGTGCAGAGCTACCACTCCTGGGGACTTCTCACACATACGTATTTCTGAATGTATAAATTAAGAAAATAGTTTTTCTTTACTTCTTCTTTTGAGATCACCCCCACCCTTCTTGTATCACTGTCTTTCTGTCATCTAGCTGGTAATGCTGTTAGCTGGCCAGAGCAAAGACTTCTCTGGCCTTACTTGGCTGGTCTTTCTTCCCTGCTTACCCTCTAACGACACTTCTTTTGGCATCCTCCTTCAGAACATCCACAGTGAGAGCTTAAGCTTTGCAGAAGAGAAGAAAAAGAAGAAGAAAGAGGATGAAGCTGCTGCAATCTCCACAGTCATGGTAAGATTGACTCACTCTCTATTAAAACACGGGCTGTATTTGAACTTGGGATCATACCTCAAGGCTTGTGTTACCTGGTGGCTTCTTGCAGATCACCAATGACAAATTGTCATTTGGGCCTTAAGTAAAAATCAGATTTAATCTACCTTAACTTCAGAGAAAAGTCTAAAACAACCCAAACAATCAAAAAAACAACCAAAGCCCAACAAAAAAATAGCCACCTTCACTAAATGCAGCCTAAAAGCTCACAGACATGACACAAAGGTCAAGTCTGGATAGTCTGTCTTGTCTGATATTTTATTATTTGGGGCAAGATATGAAATTGCCAAAATGGGCTCATTTATTGGAACCAATACTGCACTCTGTTTGTGTTTATTAATTTTATCAGTACATTTAAAGATAAAATAGTGGATTCCACTAAAGTAAGGCAGTTGAGAATGACTGGATGATTTGATGGGGAGCAGGCTGGCAGGTTCCTGGTCTTTTATGTCCTTTCTTTGTGCTCCCAGCCAGCATTTCCTCATCTCGTCAGTTATCCCAGACATTCCTGTGATGTTAAGGGTTTAAAAGCCACAAGCATGATCTTCCTAGCTGTTCCCCGAGTGTATGGAAATGGGCTGAAATGCCGCGTGTCCTTTCACCACTCTGTCACCACAGGGGACAAACATCAGTGGTGGTAAATAAACAGGGCAAAAACGTGGTGAAACAGCGCTCGGCTCATTGCCTGGCAGGCGTATGCTTGTGATGCCTTTGCAGAGCTGGAGCGCAGGAAGTTTTTGCTCTGCTGACTGTCAGGCATATCAGGGCTGTGGACTGCAAGCAGAGTACAAAGCAATGCACGGGAGAGCCGCACTGCAGAACCATCGTGGGAGTGAATTTAAAACCAGTTAACAAAGCTGGCAAGGCTTGCTGGGGCAGGACTGGCATGGAGCAAGGCTACTGAAGACACTTTTCTAAACTGGGAGTGGTGTGGTCTTCATGTCACACTACAGCATCATTGTGGGCTTCCACATCTGACCTCTTGCCCTCCTTTCTGCATTTCAGGCTAAGGTGCTTCGGGAAACCAAGCCAATCCCAAACCTGATTTTCGCAATAGAGCAATACGAGAAATTCCTTATCCATCTCTCCAAGAAATCAAAGGTAACATAAAGCAGAGCTCTTCTGTGACCTGAACTCAGTGGAACCGTGGGATCCATGGCACAGTGGAAGACCATTGCTGGTCCACCTTTTAAAGTCTGTATTAATGCCCAAATGAGGAAGGTGTAAGGACCTCCCACTGCTTTCAGCCTTTGCCCAACACTACTGAATTGCTGTCACGCTGATACCAGCAGGTGTCAATGGCTGTGCTGCCCATGACCTAACATTATATGGTTTCTGGTTGAGCAGAAACTTACACACTTAATGCCAGCTTTCCTCACCCCTCTCCCCCAGTCTGTTTCGTAAGATGGAGGGAAATGTACCATGGTGAGGTACTACATGAGACTGAGAGTAACCAGTAATCACTTGGCTTCTAGGAAAGCAAAAATGGGCCACTGGATTAGATGGGGGCAGGTGCTTTTTCACCTATCTTTTGCTTCAATCCTGCATTATTACTGTGATGGACTTGGTCCCAGTGCGGTGCAAAGGACTAGGCAGGACTAAACTAAGATGCTAACAGCACAATGTCCTCTCCCCCTGTTTTCACCTTGGTTGCTGCAGGTGAACTTGATGCAGTATATGAAGCTAAGCACCTCCCGGGACTTCCGCATCAACGCATCCATGCTAGACAGCGTGCTGCAGGAGCAGAACACAGAGAATGCTGAAAATGAGCCAGACAATGACCAGGTCAGAACTCATTTAGCTGCTTTTGCCGATACATTTCCCCCTCTGTTGAGGCCAGCTGTGTTTGTGAGCTGTGCAGGTGTATGTGAAATGAGGACAGTTTGTCTTCCCCGGGTTAGCTCTCACTTTAATACTAAGCTGATAGGAAGGAGGGAAGGGTTAGTCTGGCTAACATCCCCTACGCTCCAGCCCTCTGCCTTGAGTGACCTGTATTTCCATGCACCGATTATCTGGATCTCTGGTCTTAGGGAAGCGAGACTGCTCTTAAGGCCTTGTTGTTTGCCTCAGCAAGCCGAGAGGTCCATCAGCACTACCTCTGAGGACCTACTGGCTGGCCAGGATCAGACCTTTGCAGCATGATGCAAAGTGGGTTTGCATCCCGATTAACTTTTGCAGATAAACAGCTGGCAAGGCAAACTCTGCAAGGCATCATTCTCCTCAGACCCATCTCCTCCACTAGATACTGTTGGTGAAGTTAGTGCAACCTATGCTGGAGAAAGAAAATTAAGCAATTTACTTTGCTGATTGTCCAGGTTTTTATTGGTGCTTCTGTCTGTATTTTCCTGAGTGTTTCAACAAGCCAAAACCCAGCACAACCAGTCCCTGTCCTGTGCCACTGATTAAATAACTAACCTGTGGTCTAAGTTCCAGCATGAACTGGGGGGGTCCACGGGAAAAGTCTCAGTGGGTGCAAGGAGTCCCATATTCAGGTAACTTTGTTAGGGAGGAAAAAGAGCTAAGTCCTGCACATCTTGTTTCTTGCTTTAGGTAAGGCTTGGATGAGGTAATTACTTAGGTAACTCCTTAGACTAACCACACAAAACCAATCACACCCTGTACTGCTACTCTCTCTCCCCCTCCTCAGAGCAGCGCAGCAGAGCAGACAGATGAGACCCAGGAACCCAAAAAGAAGAGACAACGAAAAAAATAAAGCTGGGGTTGCTGCTGCTGCTGCCTCCCCCCACAGTGCCTGTCCCGGAGAACTGCGTGTATGGAGATGATGGTTTGTCATTTCTCTTGCCAAATACTTATGACTTCTTCCTTTGTGCCCACGGGCGTGCAAGCAGTGACTCAGGCCGCTGTCTCAGCTCTTTTGCAGCTGGCTGCTGCCCTCAGAAGCGCCTCTGCTATTTGAATGTGCTGCTATCGAAATCTTCTTCCCCAGGACCATCCCTTCTTACAGCAAAAAAGAAACAGCGTGACCAGGATCAGTCCCTGCCAAACAATCTTCTGAAAGGGCAGCCAGGCTCTGGCAGGCTCTCTGGGCAGTTGTCATCCCGGCACTCTAGCGTCATCATTTCTTCTCCAGCGAGCCTTTGGTTATTTCAATTAGCTGATATATATCCAGCGCTTCTCCTGGAAGACAATGGGACAATCAGTTCCCTGTATTCTGCAGCACACTCAGAGATTGTGCAACAGCAAGAGCGTGATGGTCATGATTTGCTTTAGTTCAGAGCGTGTAGCACAAAAAGCCCTAAATTTATTCCAACTTCTGTTTTGTGTGGTGGTGTGAACACGGGAACCAGCACCAGTAGGAAGCTGGAAACACGAGCTGTTCTGCCTCAGAGCTGAAGCTTGCTGCTGTGTGCAGCTCCTGAGAGGTGACGGCTTCCTCGGGCAAGGCTGGTTTTGCTGTTATATGTTTGCTGACCCCAATGTGCTGCACATGTTAAATTTACCTTGTTCTTGGTGCAAACAGAAGTGCCCTTTTTTCCTCCCAGACCACAAATCCTGTTTCTAAAAGCACCCTTTGCCTATAAGACTCCTAATAAAGGCTACCAAAGGGTGGCAAGTCTGTTGTATTCAATGACTGAGAGAACAAATCCGAGGGCAGGTTCTTATCTGGGAAAAGGCTGCCGCACAGCGACAAGGAGCCATTTAAAGCAGCTCCCAGGCAAGGGTTAAATGTTTGCTTGCAGCAGGTAAAGGGTTGAGTGCAGTTGGGGATGACTGTAGGGGAAGAACGCAGTCCTGCCAAGGGGGTTCTCTGACCAGAGCTGTGCTGGGCTAAGGGGAAGCAGGAAAGGAGAGGACACACCGAAGGCTGGAAGAGCTTGGGTCTGGAGGGCAAAACACGCAAGGTGGCTGAGGCGCCTCATTGCAGAGAAGGAACAACTCAAGCGTGGGCTGTGTTAAGCACACGCAGGAGGCCTCCTCTCTCTTTGAGGGGCACAAATGTGTGTGTGGGCTAACAGAGCCAAGCCCAGCTCATCGCTATCAGAGATATTTGGAAGCAGCAGCACAAACTGCTTGGGGACTGAGAAAGGGAAGAGGGGCTGGGGTGGGTCAGGCAGCAAGGGGCTCGGGAGGTGCCTCTGCTGTACAGAGGAGCCCTCCAGGAGCGGCTGCTCAGGCTCAGTGCTCTGCCTGAGCTGGGGAGGCTCGTGCAGAGGGGGCTGCTGCTGGTTTAGGGCACACAGACACCGCTCACCTTGAGGGATGCCGTATTTCTTCTCCATCCCAGTTGGATTGGATGGTGTCGCGCAGTTCATGGTCACCTCTTTCCTTAAGCACTGGTCAATGTCCACTGCGCTGAAGAAAGCCACTGACTGCGGCAGATCCTGGAGGCCCAGTTTGTAGGCAAACATGCACCTGGAAGAACAGGCAACCAGGTCAGGCAGTGCTACACATCACCCTTAGCCTTGTCACACCTGGCTTCGGCCAGCCACAGCTTCACAACACAGTGGCCAGCCATGGCTACCAGGCTGCTCAGGGGCTGGACCACAAGGTGCTGGGCAGCAGGAGGGTCAAGCATTGCTAAAGGGGATGTGGGAGGAACAGCGTAACGCTACCTTGAGCCTCCTCAGAAGAAAGGAAGAACCCAGCCCTTAGCTGCTGGCTAATCGTCCCAGGCAGAGCCAGTGCTGGATTTTCCCAGCAGGAAGCTCTGTGCTTGCAGGAGCCGGCACAGAGGCACAAACGCCAGGGCGTCTGCCCCCGCTGCGCATGCCGCACCGGCACAGAAAGGCTGTTTGCCGTATCCGTGCCTCAGCACAGGAGAAAACAGCTCAGCTTTGGCCAGCTCCCGTCTAACTAAATACCCACAGTGCCACGAAGGGGATGTGGCAAAGCTGGCCGTGCTGGAGACAGATTGAAGGGAGCCCTTCACGGCCCAGGAGCTTTCCAGGCTGCGCTTAACCTTGGATGGGGCAGGGAGGCAGCAGGAACACCCCAGGCTGCGGAAGGGGCAACAGCGCTGCTGCTCGCAGCACAGACCACAAGCCCTGCCTCTTGCTGTCCCCTGAAGGCAGCGGGGAGACGAGGCATGGGGACAGCGTCACGCTCCCAGCCTCTCAATCAAGTCCAAGGGCTGCTGCCTCGCAACGGAGCAGGAGGTGATGTGCTCGCATCCCAGAGGAGCGGAACGATTGGCCCCATCTCCGCAGGAGGCGAAAGCTGACAAGATCCCCCTCTCGCCAGCAGGTTATCCCTGGAAATTGAAGCCGAGCTCCATTTATAGCCACCTGAGTCACTCATGAAGGAAGCACAACCCCCCAGCGCTGCCAACTTCCCTTGAGCAGAATGAAAACCGCTCTGCGCCAGCTTGCTGCGGGCAAAGCTAGCCCCTCTGCTGTCACCCCAGTCCCTTGGGTTTGCCCCATCCCACCCCAGGGATGCCACTCGCTCCCAGGAGACACCGCAGCCGCCACATCTCACCGCGTCAGGAGGTTGGTGATCTGCAGGGCCAGGGCTGCCCGGTAGCGATCCTGCTGCTGGACCAGGTAGCGCACCTCGTCGTGGATGCTGATGCAGAAGCGCCCGTTGATGTCAAACTCCTCAAAGAGCCACTTCATGGCGACCAGCATGAGGTGCAGGTAGTCAACGGCCGAGCTCTGCACCACCCAGTTCACTCTGCTGGTCAGAAACTGGTGGAAGGAAACACAGACAGATGCTAGGAGAGCATCAGGGTCTCAAGTCTGGTCTCGATACAGGAGAGCTCCTGGGGGAAGCCTGTTAAATTCAGGGTTTTGGGGTTTTCTTGATAGCATGCAGGTAAAGAATAGGGGCAATGGGTTTCTTCATGGCTCCAAGAGCCTGCTGGGTCTCCACTGCCTAAGAAGGTCTGAACGTGGGGTTGCCATTTTGGAGAAGACAAGCAAAGCCAAGAGCTCAGCAGCACAGAGCCCCGTCCTTACCTCCCCCTTGGCCACGGCGGGCTCCAAGGCCCTGCTGATGTGACAGCCCAGCACTGGGGTCTGCGGCGAGGGGGATAAGGCGATGCTCTCCAGCTTGTTGAACATTTCAGACTCAGTTCCTCCAGACCACACTCGGTGCCCCACCACGTCCCACTTCTTCTTCCTCCGGGACCTGGTGGGAGAGGGAAGGTTTACTGGAAGCATGGGATGAGGCTGCAAGCCCTGTTTGAGAGCCTCAAATGGTTTGGGGCAGCCTCCTGCTGCTAACTGCGCACTGGGAGAGATTGGGAGGCCCCAGATGAAATGGACTCCGCTCTGGGGAAGCAGGGAGGGAGGATCAGGACCATCCAGCCCCATCTCCCTTACTGGGAGCTGCAGCTCCCTCCACCTCGCACCCCAGTGCCACCAGAGCCGTGCAGGGTCGGAGCATCTCACCTTTTCACGGCTTCTCTCTGGAG